AATACGGCGTTCGGCGTTTGTTTTCTTAATACTTCAATAGCGGGCTTTCTTTCAGAGGAAGAGAGGCATGCAGAAAACCCATGTTAGAACATCATGTGACATGAGACATGCGATATTTCTCTCCCGTTCGGACCAAAGGGCAGGAAGGTTTTCCCCACGTGTTTCCCCACGTGTCCAGTGGATGTTCGTTGCTGGTCATTCCTTTGGGTCTGTGATTGGTCGAGGATCGCCAAAGCGCAGCGAGAACTTGAAAGTCACGCATCTCCAGATCTCCAAGCACAGGAGAGAATACGGCCGATGTTTTTGAACATGCATTGGAGTGAACCAGTGGCAGAAGGTGAACCTGTTTGAAGGCAGAACAAACACGTGTGTTTAGACCGGTGTTAGGACCAATCGTGTGCTGATCTGTGATCCGAACATCCTGACCTGATCCGAACATCTGGGCAGGTCGAGGCCTTTATTGCCGAAAATGCTTTGGATGCCAAATGTTCAGAGGCCGCGGGAGCGAAGCCCTGAGACTCCTTTGAGGGCCACAGTCGAGCCTCTTTTTGAACGCTGGTTGGGTCGGTGGACTCTCGAAGCCTTGTCGCTACCCCTCTGCTCGAACGCATGTGAAGGAGCTTGGAGTTGAAAGACCTGGGACGTTGACGGTCAACACAAAAACAAGGACTCCTAAACGTCTGAATGCACCAACCTGACAGGCACTGCGGAGTCAATCCCAGACCTGCCAGGCCTGGGCTGAGACATTCGCTTCAGAAGGATGTCTTGCGGCTGAAAGCCATTCCACCATTTTCGGTCAGTTCTCTACCAATCCAATGGGCGCTTCTACCGGCTCGGTAGGGTTCCTGGTAACCGCCGACCTCTCCAACGTGTTGGGGGTGTTGGCGTGATACGAAAAGAGGGGGTGAGGTCATTGCAATACACGAAGACTATTGTAGACTCTTGATGAATACACCACCCCACTTGAATTGAACATCCTCTTCATATGGGGAGGTTTATTCATCAGATACGCAGACCTTGTCTGCAAACGGTCGCAGCTTTCCCAGGTGGCGGTGATCAGCGGGGGTCCGGCGGCTGGACGCAATGCTTCTGCTATGGCATGGGATCCCAAAAAAAAGCGCCGGTGGTGTTCAGCGCCACGTTCGTCGGTTTGGGCCCCACAGGGCTGGGCAGGGTACATTCGGGGACACGAAAGGCCCCACCCCGTGCGTGGGGCGTGGGGGGTTTACTGGTGCTCGATTTGCAAGAAGGGTGAGCATTGTTACCCTTGAGGCCAACGCATCTTTTGCTCAAAAGGTGTATGACAGTGAGACCATGCCCTAATGTTCTCACTGGTGCACATGAATGTGTGGGCACGCAGGGAGGGGAGACCTCGCGGCTATTCGAATCCTGGGCTGGCCTGGAAAATGTTTAGAATTGAATGAGTTACAGTTACTGTATATGTATATATATATATAATACTGCCAGGCCAAGTAATCCACATGCATGGTTTTGATTATTGTGTTGCTGTGCTAAACAGTTGTGTTTCTTATCTCTTTCATGGGCCTCTTAACATGTCACCTTCCAGATCGAGATTTGGTCTGTTTCACACTTAAAACCAGTGATCTTTCTCAAACTTTCTCTTAGACATCGAGTCTGATCCACAAACCCTCCAAGTTGGCCCCCACCATCACCTGGATCCCACAGGCCCGAAGAACGATGTCACGGCTCCGCCGGCTCGCTGCGTTCGTTGGGTTCTCCCGAGACGCAGCCTCCGATCGAGACGAACCAGACGTCGTCAGCCGAGCCACCGATGCTCTCTCGACGGGCTGCCAGCGGCCTGAGCTGGCCATCAGGTGATGAGCCGCATTAACAAGTTCATTCGAGCAGGAGAGGGGTGAGATGACCAGCTGATGGATGCGCAAATGCTCAATGTGCCAGGTCGGACATGCGATGTGGGCGATTTGGTCGACTCTTGATCATATTTCCACCCCTCCCCCACATGAAGACGGTCTTATTACGGCTTTTACAATCCAAATGGTTCCTCTAATTCATCAAGAGTCTACATTTGGCAGTCCTGGTTTTGGGTATTTTGGGTCCTCTTTCCGCCCTTTCTTGCCGCGGAAGGGGTCGTGTCGGCCGTGATCTCGTTTCGGGTCTCGTTTTCGGCCTTCGGCGGCCGAGGCCCGCTCGCACCGCTCGGACCGCAGCGTTCGATGGATGGACCTCGGATGACCGCGAACCGGTGGATGAACGAACGACACCATGAACGGACCATTCTAACACTCGGAGGGAAGAAAAAACATCCAATGTACCACCGGAGTCATGGGTTTCCCACGCGTCACCAAACGCGCCCCCGTTGGACGTCTTCGCAGGAGGCATTTAGCTCGGACGGCTGGGGAACGGCGGAGGCGAGAAAAAAGGCGTCTCGTTTGTGTGCGATGAGTCTCGTGTGCGGCTGCAACGGTAGTATGAAGCGACGAACAAATCCATAGAATTTTCCAGGTAGAAGAGACGAGGTTCAGCCTCCTACCTGGTTGGAATTCATTGCAAAAACCCTTAGAACAAATCACATCCCTTTCCACAGATTTTGGAGACCGACGACGATCGGGGGATCGTCGTTGCTGGCCGATACATTCACGATGGAGTTATTTCTTCCGCCGCCGCAAGAATCAGCTTCACAATGGCTCAAGCGCTTCAAAGTGGCCGTGGAGCAAACCAATGCAAGCCCCTATGGCTCCAGCAGTGAAAGAAGTCAGCCAATCCCAGAGCGCCTTGCGCTGTCCGAAGACACCAAACAATTGGGGGCGCACGAGCACGAGCAAGAGCCGGCACGAGCACCATGTGCATGCTTTGGTTTTGGAACCCTTCCAATCCGCAACAACCGAGATCTTGGCCATCAGACCATGCTTTGAGAGGCCGCGAGGCGGCCTTGAAACACGCGTGCTGACGTATTCTTCGTCTCTCACGGATTGAGATCTTTGTCTTGTGCCCACCTACCACCCTGAAGTCTTCGTTGGGTTCCTCTTCGGAGTCTTCCTGCAGTTTCCAGCCATTTCTTCGCGTGAAGGTGACGAGCAAGCCGGCCATGGTCGATCCGGAAGGCGCTCGGAACTGGGGGCCTTGACCGTCACACGAGCTGGGTTTTCTCGATTGTTGACTCGTTGACCGTGCTTTTTGGAAGGTTATTTTTCCGGTCCACGATACCGAGACCAGCTTCTTGACCTGAGGGTCCCCGGCCAGTGACGCTTTGGAGGCTCAAAAGGACCTTTCGACCGAAAGTTACGATGACTGGAGGGTCAGGGGTCGAAGTAACCAGCTCCAGCTCCGTGTTCATCGCCCTGAGCCGGACGCGAAACCTCGAACCCCTCAGGAAGAAGCCGAGCGACGGAGCGGCTTCGTTCGCGGGACTTGGATGGCATCGCCCAGCCCGCGACGCCCAGAGCGGCCATGCGCGGCGGAGCCGGGTGGAAGTGGGCTGTCACGTGGAGGTGCAACGATGCGAAGCATATGGTTTGGCGAAGCATATGGGCGAGGTGGTCGATGTTCGGTTTCTAGGGCCCTGTAATTGCTATGGGGATACTACGGGAGATAAGCCCATTTTGAGACAGGCAATTTTCGGACCTTTCGCCTGAAGCTCTCTTGAACGGGTTTTCGTTGCATGTCTGTGGTTGAAGCTGGACGGGTCTGGCCTTCAGCTGTGGTCGGTTTGGTGGGTTTGGGTCTCGCAACCTGTAGGTCCACCTAGCAGGGATTAAGGGGTCCCGGTGCTATGACCCACAGCCAAGATCAGCCAAGTAGCTGTGCTGCTTTGATCCACATCGTTCGGCGGTTCGATCTGGGATCTATCTCCGGAGGACCCCTTTTTTCTGCTGGGTGCTGAGGTTCATGGCGGATCATGCTGGGTGCTGAGCCTGGTGAAAAGTCCTCAGAGTCCTGATGGAGTCCTGATCTTGTCCTAGCTTTGGCAGTGGGTTTGACCTTGGATTCAAGCAGTTCCAAGTCCATTTCCAGCACATCGCCTTTTGGGAGTTCAGTCGCAAAGAACGTGGTTTTCGAGGCCCGGCATGTGGTGGTGCTTTGTGGAGCAGGGATTTCCACGAGCGCCGGAATCCCGGACTTCAGGCAGGGAACCGCAGGGAAGCAAAACACCGGCACCGATCGAAAATCGGGTCAGGTCGCCGGGTACCGGCTTGTACCACAACCTACAACGCGGGGCCTCAGTCCAGATGGCCTTACCTTTGCTTTATTTGTCCTCTTCATCTTGTTCATACCCCCTGCAGATTAACTGACATGCAGTCTGGAACCCTTGCTTGAGTACATGTGCCATGATTCTTTTTGGTGCCATGGCTTGGTAAGCCGCTTCTATCACATCAGCAGATCGCTCGGGTGCGTGAGGGTTTTTTGGTCTTTTCTCCGCGCCGCGCGCGGCGTGTGTCGAGGTTTTGATCTACCGGAAGCTGAAGCGATCTTTGACTTGAAGTACTTCCAGAAGGCGGCGACTTCTTGAGCACCTGCTGTCGTGTAGAGGCACCAATAGCGATCTGGGCAACTGTTCACGTGTAGCAACCTGGGCGCCCTGGAACTGTTCATGGCCGCTCGTCCCGCGCAGCATCCGGACGCCTTTTACGAGCTGTGCAGAGAGATGTGGCCAGGGAACTACGCTCCTACGCAGCTTGGTTTGAAGTAGACCATTGGATCAGCTGAAGGCACAGAAGCTGCTTTTGAAGGGAAGCTGCTCACCTTGGTGGAGCAAACGTTGAAGACGACAGCTGAGGGCATGTCACTATTTCATCCGCCTCCTCAGTGACAAGGGCATCCTACAGAGGCAGCTTACGCAAGTGGAACACTGAAATCATCGAACGCGTCGAACTCATCTCCGTCCGATCCTTCTTTGGCTTGCAGGCGCCGGAGACCGGCCTCTCCGAACCGGCTGTAACCATCGAACCTCTCGACATCACATCGGTATGAACGTGCTACCCATCGTTTTCATCGATTTTTCACGTCAGCCGCCGCGTTTTCCTCCCCGCGCTTCGATGGAACGGTCGGGACCGGTGGCGTGACGCCATGGCGCCCTCCCGCCGTGCCCTGAAGAAGGCCTTCCTGGAGCTCAAACGCTTCCCGAGGCGCAAGGAGCGAGATGGACACGCGTTGTTCGTTTGGGGGACACGGCGACGCGCTACCAGAGCGCTTGCGGGGAAGCCTTCGGTTTTTTTGGGCGGCTCTTGGCTGCATGGGTTGGGTAACTAAAGGCATATGGCGAGGTTGCATGTAAGAGTGAAACAAGCTTGCAGCGCTAGCCTGAGGACAAAGGCAAGCGGGCTCCTTTCTGCCGTTTGAAATTCACACACAGGCTTTTGCGCTCACCCGCGAGCATGGAATGAACAGTCACATTGAACGGGTGCCTAATTTAAGGCTGAGACTGGTTGATGCTGCAACCCTGCAGGACGTGCAAGATGTACTGGGATTGGTGCACCTTCAAGAGAACTTTGAGGTGCCTTGTTTGGGCCTGCCTACCCTGTCTAGAACAAAACTTGACCATCGGAGGCATCAAAGCTCTTGAAGTTCTTGGCTAACGAGAAGCGGGCAGACGTCATTTTGCCATTGCTCCAGATTTTGCAGCAGGACCAGAAGGGTGTGTGAGACACGGGACTGAAAGCAACTGAAGGTGTGCGTCTTTTCTTCTGGACCAATGCAAACACAGCGCCCCCAATGCAAACACGTCGTCCTTCCGGTCGTCCTGCCAGCAAAGGTGAAAACCTTCGGTTGCCGCGTGAAGATCGTGAAGAAGTGATGGTGTGGGGGGGGCCACTCTGAAGCAGACGAACGAACTGGCTCATGACTGGTGGTGTCTATGGGGTCTTGTCCCTTAATGTAGACTCTTGATTAATAAGCACAACAAAGCCTTTGATGTAAAGAGCTTGTTCTGGGAGGGTTTATTCATCAAGCGTCTACATTGAACATTCTCTTTGGATCTGGAGCCAAGCGTCTTGAGGGAAGGCACCCGGTTTAAACTTCTTGCTCGCAGGATGGCGCGCCCCTGTCCCCGCGCTGCTTCACGACGGGGATCTCCACGTGCGCGAGGCCTTCAAAAACACTTGGGGCACGCGGAGACTGTTTGAAGGCATATGGACATTTTTCGATACGCTCGAGGCCTTCGAAAATACGGGCCTTCTTGAGCGAGGTCGTTCTCCAACTCGTATTTTTGCAAAAAGTCTCTTGCCAATGCTGACGGTCGCAGCGCATGAGAAAACGGAAGCGTCCCAAAGGCTTCTTCCCCAGGTCGCGTGACCGTGTTTTTTCGGAGGTCACGCCTTTGGAGGGATGCCTTGGCCCTTTTCGACTTCATGAAAGTCACAGAGGCCGTGGCCCTGTCCTTCATGTGCAAGCTTAGCAGAGATGTTCATGTTGTTCTTGGAAGCCGTTCTCAGTTGTGACAACTCACACCACCTGCCCGACCTTGCTTTTTTTCTGTGTGAAGATGGGAGAATCGGACGGACCTTCTCGGACCGTCGGAGAATCACTCTCACGATGCGGAAAAGAAGCTTCCAGGATTCACATGGAGTTGAACAAACAAACCCGATAATTTGTACGTATTGAGTAAGGAAGGTTCCCACAGGCTTCAGAATAGCTTGGCCACCGCTTGGCATTCTGTGGTTTTAACTTGGAGATGCTGCCTTGTCGCGCTAGCAAAACGCAGGGGTTGCGCTAGGTTTGGTGCTAGGTCAAGTACTTAGGTAAGATTAACAAACAACACATACATACATTGGTAATTAAACTTGCTGAGGTATAAACGGATAACCTGTGGGACAAAGCATTCTTTAGCTGACTTCATCTTTGTCTGTGTCTGGACACAGCCATTTTGGCTGCAATTGGTTTATGTAAGGAGACACCGACACCCATCCATTGCGGGCATGGGAACCATTGTGCTTCGATTCTTCGTGTTTTTCAAAGCTAGGAAAGCCGGCAGACCGCAAAGCGTGCTCTTGATCACAGCCGTTTGGTGGCCTGAGGCACTGCCAGGATAGCGCGCTAGATGCGCGCTAGACCACTTTGCAACTTTGACCACTTGTCCAACTGCTTTCCAGGGATACTATTCGATACACTAGAGACATGCACACAAGCGGATTGCCTGCGCGACGTTGCGTAGGGGTGATGAGAGTGAGGAAAATCATTTCTATCTATCATTTTTTGACAACTTGTTTCTGGGTATAAGAAAGAGGACTGCTACTTTCAGCTTCACACTTGGAACCGTTTGGCTTGGAAGTAAGAATGCGGTTATGAAAGGGGCACGCACAACATACAACCATAAGTGTGAGTAGATGTTTTGTACATGAAAGTCACCGTTTGGAACTGCTGTGAATTGACCTGTTTTTTGAGCTCACATGGAGGCCAGGGTGATGTGGCTCGTCCCATCCAGGGGCTGTGGATGTGACATGACCGGGCACCCCGAGTTCACCCTTGTCCTTTGTTCAGGACCGGCGCCCCGAACTCTGTGACTCCTGTTCCCAGGTGTCTCCCAACCTCTTCAACTACAGCGCTGTGATCAATGCTTGTGGGCGAAACGGACAGTGGGAGATCTCATGGCGGATTTTTCAGGCTCGGCCACCGGGAAAAGCCGAGTTGAACGGAACGGAACGGGGGGTCTGGGCGGGTTCCAGGTGATTGAGCTCTGTATATGGGTGGTGGATATTTTTTTCGGAGACCAGCAACCAATGGGTAGACCCGGTCTATCTAACGAAGCATCCAGTGGGAGGTCTCCCAAATACACATCCATCTCCTTTGCCAGCGAAGTGGTTTTAAACTTAAACCCTCCCGAAATCGGTACAGTGGACCTGCCAGTGGACTGGCGTCCAGAAATCATCCGCGCTTGGCCGGCCCAAAAACACCTGTACCGGTACCGGGCCCCCTGACGGGTGGTAACCTGTTAGACACCCCGCCCTGGTAGATGTCACTCGAAGCAGGAGATGTCTGAGATGCAAATCTCGCCAGATGTGGTGAGCTATGGCACCGCCATCAGCTGCTTCGATCACAGCTCCCAGTGGGACTTGGCCTTGCACATCTTCCACGAGAGCCAGCGATCGGTTCCAGCAGACGCTCGGCTCGGTGTGTCCGCGGTGGGCGGCGTTCGTCCCTTTTTGGGCCGTCTGCCAAACTACGTGGTGCGACTTCCTGGTTTTGGAGCATGTCCACGAGGTTGTCCCTCTCACATGATGTGGAACTGGAGCTTTCTGAACTCACCTGCCGCTCCCGCTTTGGATATGAGAGAGGCTGATGTCATATCGCCAAGTTCGAGTTGCCAGGTCAAAGGCCGAGATCTTCAGGTTTTTGAGGTGAACAAAGATGGCGTCTGGGTGGTTGTCCCACCAAACCCTGGTGGGTGGACGTCTCGTCGTCGATTCAAATCTATTCCTTTCATGTTCGGTGCACTTTTAAGCGGTTTTGGGTTAGGACGGTTAGGGTGCAATGTTGCATCCTTTTGATCCATGGGATGATGCCCTAGGTACATTCAGGGTGGCTCTGTTCGCTTGATGAAGCCATCCCCCACTGGCGGAATGTCTTCTAATACGGAGACACCCAACCAATGGGTTTTGGTCCACTTTCCCTCTTCCAAAAGGTTTTTGGGAGGTCTCCTCAATTGAATACACTGAATACACACCCAATCGGCGAGAGGAAGCGTTTGGATAACTCCCTCTGTCGTGCACGACAGCGAGTGGAACGCGCGGAATGGAACTCTTTCGGGTCTCGGGGGCAGGCGGGGGTGAGGGAATCATAGTTACTAGTAGCTTCTTGATGCCAGGAGCCCCGTTCGTAGCGTCCGAGCCCCGTTCGTAGCTTGCCACGAACGTACGATGCACCTGCTATATACTGATCTGATAGCGACGCCCTTGTTTGTGAGTTGGGGGATGGTTTTTGGGCTTTTCTGGCCTTCCGACCGGACCTCCTCCTCTCCCCCCCGAGGGGGGTGCTCTGGGTGGATCCGCCCGTGCCCTGGGTCGGGAGGGTCGTCCGAATGGATCGTCCGTTGGGGAGGACATCGTGGGCTTTAGTGCGATGATCAGCGCTTTGGACAAGGCTGGACGCTGGGAAGATTCATTAAGCTTGTTCGAAGAGATGTCCAGTTCCTTGGCTGATATGTCTTGGCTGTTTTCCGCGCTGGGCTTGTTGGCCCGGTCTAGAATTACGTTTGATAGCTTTGGTGATTCCAGTTTAGTTTTTTTTCAGCGGAAACGCCTGCCTCCGCATTCGATGATGTAGCCGAAAGGCGGTACAACAGAGCAGCTAGACGTTGGCCCAGTCATTTTCTAGTGGGACCTGAGCTTTGCGCACACGGGTTTCGTAGCAAAATCTCACCTTGCGCCCTTCATTTTCTAGACCAGAAATGGAGTCGCCAAACCTCAGTCCCTACTACAAGATGCATTGTGAATTCAATGGGGATCAAAACTTACACTCTTGCCTGAACTGCCCCCCACAAAGATGAGTTCGATCTACGAAAGCCTTGAGAACAAGCAATTGGTAAGGAAATGCACAAAAGAAACGGTATATGAATGATTCTTAATGATCTGTTTCCCTGCTCAGATTCACCACCAGCATCAGCAGACCTCCAAAACCATCAAGAGTACTTGCCTAGAGTTCATTTCAACTTTTGTGAGGGTTTGGCCTTGGTTTCTTTGGCCAGTGGCCCAACAGAATCACTTTCTGCAAGACTACCAGCAGGGCTTATGGCTGCACATGTTCTTTCGTTAAACTACACTCTCACATAATATACATTACAATGTTTTGTTGTGTGAAAGTCTGAGACACTCGCAAGTGTGGCCTTGCTTTAAATTGGTTGTCGCTCCAAGGTGCAAATCTCTCGCCAGACACGATTTGCTTGTCAGCCGTCATTAGTGCATGTGGAAAGGGGCGGCAGTGGCAACTGGCTTTGGAGATCTTACATGAGAAGGCCGTCTGACACGTGGAACAGCAACTGTAGGTTGTTGCTGTCAGCTCCAAAAACATAGCATTCGCCATAGGATTCGCATGGTTCGCCTTCCCTTTGCATTTATTTGCATGTCTTACTCTTCGTGGTTCCGGCGGACCGAGAATCGTTCCGGCGTTCCGGGAATCTGATCGGTGGGGAAGCGGTGCGGTTTCAGGTGTCTGAGCCTGATGTGATTTGCTTCAGCGCAGCGATTTCTGCGTGCAAGAAAGCTGGGGAATGGAAGTTTGCAGTGCAGCTTCTTCAAGAGATGGAGGACCAAGTTTCGGAAACTCTTTGGAACTACTCTTGCTACTCAGTTTGAAGGGGCTGGTTTGAAAGTTTGGATCAAAGATCGAGCCAGTCACTTGTGGCACTTGTGATTAATCTGGCTTAATCCATCCATGTTTGGTTTAATTTTTGGAGCCAACCAACCACAGGGATGGATGATTCATGGAGGGCTTCGTCCCCAGTTCCCAGCTCGGACAGCTGCGGCGCTCTGCTTGCGGCGGCAGGACCTGAACTTGCGGCCCGATTACGTCACCTGTTGCGGAGCCATCAGTGCCTGTGAAAAGGGACACCAATGGCAAGCAGCGTTGGAACTTCTGCAGGCGCCGAAAAAGGGGCGGCAGCTTTGGCCGGCCGGTCGGCCCAAATAAGAAAACGCCGAAGCCCAGGTTTTTGGGGTGGTTGTACTCAAAGAGGCTTAAGTCCTTTTTGGGAACAGGAACAGATCATGCAATTTCTTCTTGAAACACTTCCCTTGTTGTTGAATCCCAATTCCAGGTCCGTTTCGGGATTGGACCGATTATTTTCGAGTCTCCTTTTTGGAGAAATATATCCGTTCAAAACACTTGTCGAACTTGTTTCTATTCGGCATACATGTGATGGTGAACGCACAGAGGCCGCCGATGCAACGTGCCCCAGCGACTGTCTTTGCGCATGCGACCCCACTTTGGTGATCTGTCGGAAAAGCAAACCATTTCCCGCTTTTGATCACTTTATATACGAGAATCCGCGAACGTGGAAATCGAGCGGACTCCGTGGTTTTCCAGGCTCCTCTCTCCTCTCCAACTTGCTGATGACTGAGTTTTTTTTTTGGCATCCCATCATCAAACCTGTTAACTGGCATCTTTCAGCCGCAGAAAACTGCAGCATGGTTTGAAGACAGCATGTTCTCAGCGCGAAACCGGCAGGTCATGCCAGAAGCTTCGATGACTTTGGATGCCATTAGCTACAACGCGACGATCAGCTCTTGTGCAAAAGGTGCCCAATGGCAGACGGCGCTTCAGTTGCTGGACACCATGCTTTCCGTGGAGGCCGGCAGGTGTCGTAAAAACCAGAAAGATTACTCTCCTGAGAGGTATTCCGCCAGAGCTGATGTAGGCCTCTTGTGCGCAGAATCAGGCAATTTATGATCAAGAGTCGTAACCGGCTTTGGGTTTGTATGAGTTTCATGTTCTGCAAGAATCTGATGGGCAAAGTCAGTCATTGCGGGCGGCAGCATGATCCCTCTTGGCCACGGCCACCCTGCCACCCTGCCAGGTGTGGCCTGATGTGATCAGCTGCGCTTCAGCCATTAGTGCCTGTGAGAAAGATGCACGGTGGCTCATGGCCCTAGGGGTCTTCCAGTCAATGTATGACTTCAAAGTCTTCCCTGATCGGATCAGCTTCAATTCAACGATGCGTGCTTTTGCAAAAGATGGACAGTGGCAGTTGTCCCTCAGTTTGCTCCATGACATGAAGAATGAGGAGACACTTGGGCGAAACAAAAGGAAACAACACTTGTGCATCGTGGTTGTTGAAAATTTCGTTGAGGGGCACGCACCCCTGTAATGATGTTCACAAGATGTGAATGGTCCATGCCCGTTTGCACACCCCGGCCAGCCTGGCCCGGCCGGTGGTTAGCAGGAAAAATCGCTTCGTCTGACGGCAGCAGAGGGGCATTTTGCAACTAGAAGGTGGATAGACATATTTTCCTTAGGTGGTTAGACTCCCGAAACCCACCCCAACCATCTTTTCAGAAGGTAGTTGGAACCCTAATTAGGGCTCGTCGACGGTTCCGGGGCGGAAGACACTCTCTCCAAGGGACCACTCGTGGCTTCGTGGATGGCATGGTTTGTGGGAAAATGCCAATGCAAGGTGTCTAGAACAGGGGGATGCCATCGATGAAACCATGTTTGTAGGGAAGGTATGAGATGTTGCAAGACAGGACTTGATGTCCCACGATCTGTGAGGGATCTGTCATGTCGGGCTGCGTGAAACAAAGCCAATGGTTTTGGCAGGTTTCAGGGCCATGTGGATGATCTCTGGATGATCTCTGGATGATCTGGAGGAAGGGACCAGGGGCCAATGCGGACCTCGGTCACTTGACGTTGAAAAACACCGCCCTTTAAGACCTTGAAGCCAAAGCAGAGTACCGGTACCGCGAGCTCGATTTTGGGATGGGGGGGACGCTGGGTGAACTGACAGCCAGCCAAGGATTCAAGCTGATGCCACTAGTTTCAATGCTTTGATCAGCTCTTGTGACAAGTCAGAGGAGTGGGAGATGGCCCTCCATCTCTTGGAAGAGATGCTTCAGGCAGGGTGTTGCGTCATTGCAATGGAAAAGAACCCAGATAAAGCAATCAAACCTTTTAACCTTTTGTGTTGTTCTTCTCGGTTGCTGGAGCACGACCAACAATTTTGATGGGTCGATTGAGCGAAAGAAGAGAGGCAAAAGAAATCAACAGAATCTCCCAGGTGGACTTGCAGCCTGATCTCATTACTTACACCTGCTTGTTGAACTGCTATGAGACAGCTCGTCAGTGGCAAAGGGCCTTGGAACTCTTTGCAGTTTTGCCCGAGATCAAGGCCATGCGGTTGCTGTTTCTTTTTTAAATCATCGTTTGCTCCATGCGGTTGCTGAGGACAGTATTTTTTCTTTTGCCGTTTTTTGTGTAGAATTGTTGGAACTCCTCCCACTGTGCGACGTGATGTTGTTCTTGTGCCTGAAGCCAGCAATCAAGGCCGGACACATGTTTGAGGGTTCCATGCCACTGATAGACTTGCTGTTCTGTCGAGTACGCATGGAAACCTTTACAGTGTGCAGTTCCCAATGGCTCAAAGTTGTCCAAGAACTTTTGTGATTTCATGACAGTCATCGAAAAACACACCATTCTCTCATGATCCCAGTCGCCCAGTCGCTTGCGACTGGGTGGAAGGGAGACAAAAGTGGACATCTCAATCCTCAGTGTAAATTCGCAGTTGTGTTGTGTTGATGTCGATTCCCGACCCGTGGGTGTGGTGTGCTGCCTGAAAACAAGGTGACTCCCGACAAGATCAGCTACAATGTGACCGTCAGTGCCTGCGAAAAGGCTGCTAGATGGCAGCTGGCTTTGGCATTGTCACTCAGCTGAGCTGGCTTCTTTTTTGCATGATTTGGCCGGTCAGTTTAATGTTTTCTAGAGTAGTTTGAACGATAGAGGTCTTTTTCTTCTCCCTTCCCAGGCCCCCTCAAAAGAGGTGCTCTCGGCCAAGCAGGGACCGGAAGATGTGGACTTCCCCGTAAAGGGCCCTGAACAAGTCCTCCCTTGGTCCATGCTGCAACCCTTGGTTGGAGTTTGAGGCCCATTTCCAGCAGTGACAGGCCTTTTTGAAGAGACCTCCTTAGCGGATGAGGTGGCTAGGACTGGCGAAGGAGGCGCCGGAGTCTCGTTGGCAGGCACCACCTGTTGGTAGAGAAAAAGGCTCTTCCCAGGGGCCATGCCATCCACTTCTCAGCACTTCAGAATGTTTTAGAAGATTTCATCCTTTTGCGCACCCACGTTGGATTTCTGGGCTTTCCGCAGCACCCGTGCTTCCCCCCGGAGGTGCACGACCTCTGGACCTCGCACCCTTGAACCTCACGCCGTTGCGGACCTGTCCTCTGACGCCCCGGGCGACCGTGACGTCGACCCGTCGAAAGAGCGTTTGGAATTCGTTGGGCGCCCGTTTTTCTTCGAAGCAGACAGCATCCGGCAGGGTTGCATGGAGCGAAAAAGGTGAAGAAGGGTTGGTTCGTCCGAAAGGTTTTTGGGAGGTGGAAAGAAACGAAGGATAGACCGTTAGACCAGAGGGATGAATTAGACGAATTCTTTGCATCTCATTTTGGTCCCAAGGATGCCTTAGAACTTAAAACCCATCCGCCCATTGCCACCCATCCTTGAAACCCTTGGGGTGTGTATTAACCAGAGGGAGACATCCCCCAGTTTTTCCACACCCCCGGGTTGCCGAAACCGGAACCTGGCACCTCAAATCGGCGGTAAGCGCCAGGGCCCAGGGGGGCGAGAGTTCGGACTCTGGCAGCCAAAATCGCCATAGCGAAGTGGACATCTGTTGATGGGACTGAAGCTGAACAGGACCTCCCAGCTTTCCGGGTCACACGGAATCGTCAGGCCATTCTGCTTCTCCCCCTGACCCACTTCGGAATCAAAACCACCCAAAAACCACATGAAGTGGTTTTGCGGAGACGACTTCGACAGAACTCCAGAACTCCTGTGGCTCAACGCCGGACCCACGGTGCATTCTGTGGGTAAACCCGCCACGGACCGCGGGTCCACGCGGCAGGTGCTACACTCAGAACATCGATTCTCTGGAGCATGCGGCCGGGGCGGCCCGTGCAGAACGAACGAACCGAGCCGAAACGCAACGCAGCATCTCCGTGAAACAGTGGGATGCGGCAGGTCACCTCTACTTTAGACCGCCAAACGCACAAAATATCGTACAGGTCCTTTCCATCTTTTCCTATCAAAACAGGGGTCAAATGGGTTAGAACAGGAAAAAGAGTCTTTCCAAATTCCATTCAGTTCTCAGGAAAAGATAGATTCACCACAAGAGGGGGGGTCATTTCACAAGGTCCCGAACCGCGCCGCATCCAGATGCCGCCTTTCCGGCATTCTTTCACCAAGGAAAGATCCTCAGCCAATCAGAAAAGATCTCAAATTTCAGCAATCTCACCAATCCCATGGAGACAACCTAAGAGCGACGGCCTTCAAAAGACTCCCCTCACAAACCGAGATCCTCCCACCCATGATGGTGACCAGCCCTGTGAAAAAGCGGTGCGCCGGTGTCCAAGTGATCGTTTATAGGTCCAGGATCGACACCAACCCCACACCAACCCGTCCCAGTGAAACCTTTCGTCTTCGTGGTGTTTTTGGATCCCATGACCTCAACGAAACCAGGCCGGGATCCCGGCCGAGCTGCTGGTGGCGGCACACGGCAACTTCGATGCGGCACACGTGGTGGACGACAACGTCGGACTGGCCTCGAGCTGCTTGGATGTCCAGAAGCTGCGAGAGCTGGGCTTAAAGACTTCTAAACTTCGAGGTCGCCAAAGCAGGAGGGGTTTGGGAACCATAGGGAACCCCCAAAACCGGTGGGAGGCCCCGATTCTGGGGGCCGCACCCAGATAGAGCCTGGTGTCCAAGACATTCGTAGAACTGATTCACATTTCAGCCCTTTCAGTTCGGGTCACTACATGCTTCCTTGGCTGTGCATTTGGGACATTGGCTGCTATAAAGCTCGGAAGTTCTAAACGACACTCAAGCTTTTGGGCGAAGTAGTGGGGGTGAGGCTTCAGAATCATAAATCATTCTGCGACATAGCGCATTTGGTTGTAATTATTGTTGTTCTTAGTGATCGTTGTTTCTATCATCTTGTGTTTGGTGGTTTCCTTGGTTCCTGCTGCACCCGCCCAATCGAAGTCTCGCTCGATTGGCTCCTTGTGCCGTCCAGGCTATGATGTGGACATCACAGAGCTACAAGATGCCCTCCATGATCCCGGGGATGAGGGATGGCAGGCGCTTGACAGACTGGATCACATTTAAGCCAGCGCTCCTGGTTCTTCAAAGTGGCCTTTTGATCCCCTGGTTTGAGGTCACTTAATCCTGGAGAAGGTCGCTTAGGGACTCCCAAAAGGTCAATTTGAAGAAGCTGGCTGCTGGCTTTTTGGAGAAACCTTCCAATTTGAGGTCATAGCCCTCGTCAAGAGGTGATTCGGAGTGTTCCAAAACGCACCGAACTTGGAAGGTCCTGGTACTTTCCCGTCACTGTCTTCCGGGAAAACACTCCGCGCGAGTCGCACGCTGAGCCGCGCGCTCTCGTCCCACGGCTGGACCAGGAACTACGAGAACATCACGGCGGATTGGTGAAGCCCAAGATCGTCTTCTTTGGCCGCTCGGGCGGCGTTCTGCGCCCCAAACGCTCGGCCGGATTGGTCGACCCGGATCGTGCGGATCGTGCGGGGTTTCGCCCACCTCGGGCGACGGCAGGCGCCGCTGAAGAGAGTGTGCTTTTCCGAAGGGATGAGACCGTTTGGGAGGGAATCTTCGAGAGTGTCCACTCCTGTAAAAGCACCCCAAAGCATCGTGCTGGGCCGTGGCTGCATCTTGGGGTGCCAAACGGTGGGCGTCTCAGTGTCCTTCGGCGCGCGATACGCAACCCTTCAACCATCGTTGGACCCGATCGCCCCGAGAACGCCGCTTCGACCCGTCGGGTCCGGAGCCCGGGGTCGTTCTCAGGGGAAGAGCTGCCGAAGCGCTTCTTTGAGCTACACAAGGCGGACTTGGCGCTGTGTGATCTTCTCTTGGCCGGGCCCGTTGAGAAAGCGAAATGGAGGGGAGGTGAGGTGAGGTAGTTGGGAGGCAATGGATTTTGTGAGACTTTCCAAAACAACAGCAAGAGAGGCAATCTGGAGGAAGACCTGCGAGTTGTGGCTTGGTGTTTTGCATAGCTGGGTGGGTCAAGGCTTCCTTTGTAGGGACTCACCATAGAATCTACCAATGCCATCACCAAGAGCCATATTTTGAGTGGTTGGGCAAACACCGTATTACGAATTCTATAGGTTCGAAGACTGCACCATGGGTGTGTATTGGACTAAGACACCTGTTTGTTGAGCACCTGACAAACCCAGGGACCCGAGCCATGGGAGCCACACGGCACTCGTGTGGTTCCCGCGAGTGAGGTCATGGGAACCTCTTTGCAAGTTTCGCCCTTCAACACCTTGCTGAGCCTCACCTCTGACAAGCCCAGGCGGCGTTGGAACCGAGCCGTGGGCGTCTTGACGACACCCCCGCAATGATGGTGAGTCAGGGGGGGTAGCGTTGGGCTATAGAAAGCCGGTGGTTCATTGATGCATCGATTTTACCATAGGAAGGATGCTTGGTGCAAATGTGTTTCGTTTCACCGGGTTTCATATATTATATATATGTATATATATTCAAGTGTGCAAAGTGCCACTGTTTCATCTGTTTCCTTGGAATTGAAAGGACCCGTTGCAACATTTTCAGGCGGAAGGCTTCAGCACTTTTGACTTGAGAGTCTCTCTCTCTCTCTCTCTATCTTTCGTTTCGTGTCAACTGCAGGTTGCTGATCAACCGGGAGGCGGTCGGCTCATGCCTGGATCCCGATCTCTTTTCGCACCGATCCGTGTGACCGACGCACGACGCACGACATGGCACGAGAGCTGTGAGTGATCAGGCCGTTTTCCGGATCCTGTGAAGGATCGCTGAAGATCAAACTGAACACCGGTGCATTCCGCATGTAGCCTGAGATACTTCGAGCGACCAGACACCATGGAGGTGATGAGGCGAAAGGATGACATTGGTCTGTTTGGCTTTCAGATTGTCCAGAGGCCTTTTCGGAAGACCAACGGAACGCCGTTGGATTCATGCATATTGGGTTGTTCTTGACGTCTTCGACTCTCCTTCTCTTGTCTTTGGTACATTGACATTCCAGTTGACACTCCAGCAACAACGGACCGACACATTCACTGATGGCTTTGGCTTGAGGTGATGAATTGGCTGGTGGCTTTTGCTTCCAAGCTGACAGTTTCTTGGCGGCGCTTCTAGTCAAAGCCGGACCAAGCCAACTGACTACAATGAAGTCAGGAAACGATGGACACTCCCTGATTTTTCTATATGAGTTCGTTTTGGAGTACTCTTGTAGACATCTATCACCTCAGTCCAGGTGATGGGCAGGACGTCTTCTATCAAGGAGATTGTGATGCGGGTGTGGAGGCCTTGGCTGAGAGGCGCGCCCCAACCGAGTTGGGGCACAAAAAAGACACCGAGACGAGATTGACGAGACGTTGTTTCCGAGATGTTCTTCTTCGGGGAGGGAGGGAGACTGACTTGTGCTTAGTAGGACATGAGGACAAGAGATGCTTTAGGATCCATTCCCTTAGCCCTTACTAAGCACGAGTCAGGAGAACGACCGTGAAACTCACGAAGCCATGAGTTGCCGCAGTGAACGTGATGCCGCCGTCCGACCCCCCCAAACCACGACCTGCGTTCGGTTCGGTTCAGAACGTCCACAGCCAGGGGCGATCACGCTCAGTAGGCTGCTTTTCCGGCGCCGACCGACCCGGCGCACCCTCGCGACCGGGCGGGCCGGACTGGGAGGGACCCCAGGCTGGGATGGTTGAAGGAGCTGCAAGAGCTCGTCGCACTGGGCCAGAAGGAAGCGGAGGAACTGCAGCACTCGGAGCTCTGGAACACAGCCGTTGGAGTCGGTAGACGTTTGGTGGGCTCGGGGTTTTGGGCGAGTGAGACACAAACGTTGAACAAGGATGGCAGAGGTTGAAAAGGTGGCAAGACATTGATAGAAATCACATGCTTGGTTTTGCTTAGGGCTGAGGGGAATTCCTTTTTGTGAATCCCCTGGCATGTATAATATCTTTTTCAGCTCCTTAAGCAAGTCCAAGCATGGCAATATATGGCAATCATTCTGAAGTTCAGAGTGTACAGTGCACTTATAGTATATAGAGATATAGAGGTATCATATAGTGAGTTCACTTTTTTTGCCTGAGGAAAAGCTGCCATCACACTCGGTCTTTTCTGAGGAGTGCCACTGATCTCGCTTTTTCAAAGTCCTGGCAACGCGGCAACGCTTGGGATGAAACGGACACTAGAATGAACTAGTTTTGCTTGAGAGTCTGGAACTGCGGAGTTTCTAGAGTAAAAGGAATTCTTGACTACACCAAAATGATCAGATGAAAGGACAAAGGGTGGGTGCCGTATCGTTGCGTGACAGGGCAGATTTGCACCAAAGGTCCCTATGTGGCTTTTGGTTCCTTTTGTGCAGTGTTGGTTTGTCTCCAGCCCTTCTTGCAAGATGTGAATGTGCGCGTGCCTTTTTTCCCGTGTCTGCAGAGTCAGCTGCAGTCGTCGGGCAAGTGGGCCCAAGTTATAAAATCAACTCTTGCGCTTTGGCTGCCATAGTTTCGTAGCTTCCGGACGTGAAGCGGAGATCGGCAAGTGAGGTTTGACCAGGACTTTGAAGCGGCCACTGGAGAGAGTTAACTACTGAGTTGTCTTGAATACCAATTTTTGCAGTGAGGGACGAGGAACAGCCGAGGAACAGCTGATCTTGCTAAAGGCGTTCTGATTGTACATAGACATAGAGTTTTGAATCGCCATTGACTCATGGCAAAAAGAGCTCTACCAGGGCCTCCGGTTTGGGGTGGTTAATGGACACCCCTTAACCTCTAAATTGGACACCCCTGGCCCGGGGGGGCCCTGGCAAAAAGAGGTATTCGGCCAGGTTTTCTAGGTTTTCGTGCGAGGAACTTCTGATGCACAAGATGAGTTGCCTGTGTGGCTTTCCGGCGAATTCTGGTCATTCCTTGTTGCTAAGTATTCAAAGTGACAGTCGCAAGGTTCTTGACTCTCTTCAGAAATACAAAGCAGGAGTGCCAGACAATAGCTCGCATGATATGTAAAGTCAGACTCGCATGAAAATACAGACTCGCTCAGACTCGTTGGTCTTTGATGGCCGAATGCGCCATGCCGCCCATCCACGAAGCGCCGAGCCTCGTGCAACAGCCGCCTCCTCCGCGGAGAGGACAGGTGCTCTCCGAGCTACAACGCCTGAAATCCATGCGACGACAGGCCTTAGGTGCTGAGGCCAGGGGCCTTGTTGTCGCGGGCACCGGGCTACCGGGCATCCAACTGCCTCCCAGGGACCTCCGAGGGACCAAACACTCGACCAGACTACCAGACCCAAGCTCGCATGCGCTGGCCTCAGCCTGCGCAGAAGCTGCTTTGCACACAGGGGGCTCCTGCACCCTTCTCCGCTCTCAGACGTCGGGAGTAAAAGACGCTTTAAGTGGAGGGGGGCCTCCACTTCGGTGTGATGATGCCTTTTAACAGGAGGCTGGAGAGTTTTTTCAGACACCTGACCCAGACCAAAAACCCCGAGACCCACCCAGATTCTGCGGATTGGAGGCGGATCGACGGCGACGGGAAACAAGGTCCTTCGATGCGCAAACAAGGACCTTTTTTTAATAAGGAGGGGGGAACTATTGACCAGCATCAGGTTTTTTGGTTTTCAAGATTTTCACCAATATTTTCACCAGTTTGGTTTGGGTATGTGGCAAAACCATTTGGTCATACCCAAAGACGTCTTGGCTTTGGACAGCTGCCTGATTCCACGATGGTTGGCTCTTTGTGTCCGAAACAGCTCTGTTGGGTCTTCTGATTCTTGTCCCCCAACGATGGGGGTCACCTGATGTAGGTTGCACGAGGGCCAAAGAACGCCTTTGTGGCCTCTGGATGCACGGTCACTCGGCCACGAGGGCCGCACCCTGTGGCCCAGGGTGCTGTGCCATATTTGTTTGTTTGCTTCTCCCCCAACGGCCCTAGCCTTCCAAGACATTCCAGGACCATTTAAAAATGGTTGGCCATGGTTGGCCTGGTTTGGTTCGGGATTCAGCCTATGAACTTCATGGTGGGCCAGGAATCTTGCACACATTTTGGAGTGTTTTTGGTTTCAAGCGCCTGGAATCAAGGGAATCCTGGAGCGTCTCCACCCGTACGGTGTACGGTGCAATATCGCAGGGCAATGGCCGGCATCGAATGGTGCAGGGTGCCTTCTTCGGTTCGCATTCCCGGCGCGACGGGCTTTTGGGGAAAGACGGGTGGCGCTGCCAATCGAGATTCCGTCGGATTCCAGTCGAACCCAGACATGACCCTGTTTGGATGGGAAGAAGATGGAAGAAGACCTTATTTTGAGTGATTTTTTGTCTAACATAGAGGTCACCCAAGAGGGTCGGACGGCAGTCTCCCTCGGTCCAGCGCCGGGACGGCGCAGGCGGCTGCGCTGGATCTCTCGATCGAGACGTTGGTCTTTGCGCTGCGGGCACCACAGGTGAAGAGAAACAAGTTCAAGAGTGAAGAGAGATTTTCTTACCCTATTTTTTCCGGTATAATAGGCCAAGCATGTGTTGTATTTTTGAGGTGGTTATTTTTCAGGTATATATGATATAGATAGACCAAACCTAGAAATTTGTTTGGGGGAAAGACAAAAAAATAACACACAGCGACCGTTCACGGTGTTTTTTTTCCATCTTTTTTGTTTCACCGACCCCCCCCCCCCCTCGAGGCCCCTGGATCATGGCATGCCATGGCCACATGGGCCAAGAGCGTCGCGCTCGAAGAACTCGACGAAGGAGACGGCCGAGGTGTTTACTCGCTTTTGAGTCGGGAACGAGCATTTTTAAGGTCCAGAGCCAGAAGTGAACCAAAGAGCTCTGAGAGTCCTGGTGTTTTTTCTTGTTTGATGGAGAAGAACTCCATCTACACGAGGAAGCCCTTACGGTGTACATGAGGGATGGCGACAAAATACTTCAGCAGCTGGGAACCCTTCGCCCTTCCGAGATACGCCAGACACAGCCGCCACCTGGTGCCATGACGATTGAGGGTCCGCCATTTGGGAGGAAGACCCACTTGAGACAATGGGAACATGCCAAGTGAGTTCACCTACAGAGTTCACCTAGGTTAGGTTGAATGCAGTCGGCTTCCAGAGCTGCGTGAGCGGCTGACGCTTTGATAACTGCTTTTGCCACGATGCAGGACAGAAGGAAGAGATGCCGCCGAAGGAGGGCCCCCCCGCGGAAGTGGGCTTCGTGGCGGCCGTCCGTTCCATGCGAAAGTCGGACCTGCCGACGGTCCGTCGATGCGGCCGCGCCAGGAGTTGCACCAGGATGGAGTTGTCTTGTCAAGTTCAGAGCGTCCAGACGATGAGAGACAGGAAAAATTGGAGGCTCGCGCATTCTTTTTGGTCACACGTGGGGTGGGCAAAGGAAACCCACAAAACATAGCTATTCCATGCTATTCCCTTGTGTGGTTGGCGAACGACTAGTTCTTGTAATATCTCTTTTTGACTGCAAGTGTTCGTTTATGGCAAAACTGGGGATGTGGCCTGCATCCATTTTGTCTCAAGCATTCTTAGTGAAGTGACGACACAGGTGGGAGCGAAGTGAAACGCAGGTGTAGTAGTCCTCAAGTATGTAGATCGTTTTCAATACGTTCGCAGCTCGGGGGTTCACCTTCAATCTTTTGGGGTCACTCTGCAGTAAACCGCAGCCTTTGTGATTCGTTTCTGAGTTTCGTTACGTTTCATTTCACTCGTGCTTATTTGGAATATGAACAAGTGACCCTCCCGGTGCGCTCTGTTCTGCACCGAAGCGTGCCGTCGAGGAAACGCGACTGGTGGGACCACGGAAGACATCGCTTGACATCGCAGGTTCCCACCTCAGACCCACCCGAGCCACCCGAGCCTGTGGAGCGAGCCGCGGAGTTGGCGGAGCCTGGAGAACGAGCTGCGGAGCCTGTGGAGCCTGCGGAGCGAGCTGCGGAGCGAGCTGCGGAGCCTGTGGAGCCTGAGGAACGCGCTGCGGCAGTCGAGCCACAACCTGCTGATGAGTAGCTCAGCCTGTGCTGCATGATTTGGTCCATTTGATCCACAAGAATCACTTGGCAGCCAAATCTCGAACTCTTCTGCTACTCACTGTTTTGTTTGTGGTCCAGGTAGATGCGTTGGCACGTCTTCGTGCGGCACGTGCACAGGTGTCAACCAGCTTTGGGGGTTCATCGCTTCATCCACCACTGACCACGAAGGAATACGAAGGGGACTGCTGGGAGCGTCGCGGGATTGAGGCCGGCGAGCCACGAGAAGTGGCATGTGGAGAAGACGCCGGATGAAACGCAAGAGGAGAAGCCCGAGCCCGCATCGGTGTACCCGCAGTTCTATGCGGACCGGAGATGCCCGTCTCATGGCTTGATGGGTGCTTTCGTATTGTTTCGCCGGGCTGGATGTGTTTGCGAGGTGGTTTACTGTCCAGTCTGAGGCTTGATGCTGCAAAGTCCGAGCATCAAGAGCGGCTCGGCACCTTCAGTTGGATCAAGGAACGAAAAGGTAACAGATGGTAACAGTTTTGATTTATTTTAACGTTTTGTAGTGTCAAATCCTTAGTAAAACAATGATGGCTATTCATGGTGGTTGGAATCTTAGCGATTAATATACCATAATTTATGATCAACACGAGCAAAACCTTGAAATCTCGTTGGTGAACTGGGGAACCACGGCGTTTGAGATCCGTTGAATTCTTTGGTGGTGAGCAGCGATGAGCAGGTGACCACAGTAGGTAGAACCCAGACACCCCGGAAAAGACCCGGTTCTTGTTGGGTTCTTTTGTTGGTCTAACGAGGTCACCCAGTTGGGTCCTTCGGATGTCGGACGTGACTCGACGTGACATCGTCCGATGTCTTGGAACGACTTGGACCGACGTGGCGCGACTCGGACTACGACCAGGTAGGTCGTGGCCACCGTCCGTTTCGCCATGCCTTTTCATCCAACTCACGGAGACGCCCGGAGCTGACCCTCGACCTTCGACGCTCGGAGCGGGATCGCCGCTCGGCTTCCGCCGCCGCTTCCGCCCCAGGGAGGAGTCGCCTTCCGCGGCGTCTCGGCGTTCGCGCTTGGAGACGGCGCGCAGGTGCGGAGATTCGGTCGGGGCGCGGCAGGGGCCGAGCCGGCGTGCTCGGCTGAGGCCTCGGGGGCGAAGATGGGAGAGCCTTTTTGGGTGCAAAGAAATGTATGCTACAGATACGGTGTTTACAGTTTTACAGAGAATTGCTATCTCCAAAACCTAGGTTTCGAGCTAATTTTTGTTAGAAAAGCAATAAAAAGCCTAAAAAACAAAACAACCCTGTTTGAGACAAAATGAGGTTACTATACCTGCGTCCTCAAAAGTAGGTCAAAATATAGCTGTTTCAAAAAGAGATAGTTTTTTTGAAGGACACGGCATTTCTTTGGGTTTGTTGCTGTTCTTTTTCCACAAAGTGAGCAAAAAACAGATCTTCAAGCGGCGCATGCCTCTTGCGAAACGGCGCAAAACAATGCAAAAACGGCGCGAAACATCGCAAAACACGGCGCAACAAAAAAGTACACGTTTTAAGTACACAGATGTACACATCTTAAAGGAAGGGGCCATGTGAAACAACAATAACTTTTGGAAACGACACGTTTTTCTGCCAAACTGCGACAAAGAATGCATCTTCACCAAACGACATAAAAAAGTCACACCAGGGTGGCGCAGGTATAGGATTTGGATTTTTTTTTGTTTTTTGGTTTTGCGCTCATTTTGTCTCAACTTGTTTCTTTTTAACATGCAAGTTTCAGAATGCATTTTTTTTGCAATCTACTGTACATATAACACATCAGACACTCTTAGACAAGTTGTATAGTCTTTATTCAATAGATTTCTTTAGGGCACGGTTGCATAGTTTTAAGGGTTTGTACCACAGCGTTTGCTGAGTACTGGAGCCACTGTGCTTTCGACAGGGCAAGAGGAGGCTTCTGCATTCAAACATTACCTTCATGGTTTTCGATCGCATCATAGCCCTGCTTGTTGACTATTGGCAAGCTCTTGTTCCCCTCATTCAATTCTTCGCGATTGCTGATGCAGCTGATTTACAATATTATCATATGTTCATTTATATAACTCTTCCTCTCCCGCACCATTCTTCCCTGCAAGCCGTTCGCAGGTTTAAAAGGCTTTTCAATAGCTTCAGTAGGGTTATGCATGTCTTGCTGAGCTTCTTCTATAGTCTCAATGTGTTTGAAATTGAGCAACAGAAGGAGCTGCTTCAACCTTCACGAGGATTTCTTGGCCAAGTTGCTTTGTCTTGTTTCGCGTTTTCTTTTCTAGAACATTGTCTTCTTAAGCACATCAAGATGCAAGTAAAGGACAGCATATACTAAGAGAAGGTAATGGCTTTAGACCAGGTGCACGAGGATCGATTAACTTCTATCCAGGCAACAAGTTGTTTCTTCTGCTGTCTTGTCTCATGAGGGTGTTTCTGTTGCTAATAGGTTGTATCTGTCTCGCTTAGCTCTTTCGTGCCTTGACATTGAGCACCAAAAAGGAAGGCTGCTTAAATCTGCACAAGGTTCTTTCTTGGTTAAGGTGTGTTGTTGGTATTAGGTCTTTCAAAACAGGTAAGGAGCCAAATGAGTTCGATTAACTTCCATAAGGCAACAAGTTATGCCAGATGCAACAAGTTATATATATATATATGCCTTTTGGTTCCTTGTCATGGTTTTTGTTTCTCTTGGTTTGGACAAGATGCAAGCCAAACTCATACAGCAATGAAGTCTGTGTTATTTGGACGGCTTCTTGCCTATGATGATACATCAAACTCTTCAATTAGCAATGTTTCTTCTTAAGCCGTTGTTTTCTAGGCCGTTTTAGACTAAGAAGAGCTTGCTTTCGAGGTAGGACATCAAAGATATTCAAAGCATATATTGTATATATACTGTATATATATTTAAGGGGCTTACGCCCAACAGCCAGCGGGCCAGCAGGGGGTTCAGTGGCAGGCGGCAGAGGCAAACAGGTGAGACTTGTTGTTGTTGTTGTGGTGGTGGTGGTGGTGGTTGTAGTGCGAGGCAACGTGGGCGGTATAACTCACACCTTGGGGCCATCTGAAGCCATCTTCAAGGAGGGGGGTACCCTCATCAGCATGTCACAAAAAAGAGCAAATTTTTGAACGTCATCATATTGCAAAAAAACACTAAGGACACTGTGTTGTTTTTGGTGCTTGCGTTTGTACGCAAGAGCCCAAAACACTGGTATTTGCGAGGGTTTCTAATCCCGTTTTTATTCGCGTGGTGTGCCTGCAGACCTCCTCGGGCGCTATGCCCGCGCATGGTCAGCGGCAAGGGAGCATGACGATTCTTACCCTAGGGGGCGGAGGGGTCCTGCCTTAGAGGGTCCCAGGCAGCAGCTTCGAAGCCCACAAACAAAAAAGGTGTGGAAAACCATGGCCAGAGCCTTAGTTCAGGTTGTTCTGCGGGCGCATGTGGCTGGAAAGGGTTCCAGACGGCAATTTAGAAACCCAGTGCAAAAGGTTGCCAGGCTCCGGTGCTGCGTGAGCCCCTCGACATTGGTATGGGCAAGACGTGCTGCAGTGCGTCTTAGATGCAGGGTGCCAAGAAGCTGCCATCATCCGGCCCCCCTGGTCGACAGAGATGTTGGTTGCTTAAGGCTATTGTACCCGACGATGGGGGTATTGGGGTTTTAGGCATCCAGTCTGGTGACCGGGTCCTTTACCTGAACCGGGCTCAGAACAAGATTCGTAGGCCAGCTGAGGCTTTAACCGTGATTAAGCCATAGTACAAGACTGCCAAGCTTGACACCAAAGCCGGCGTCAGCTCACCTCACCAAAAAGTGCAACGCGAATCCAACCGAGACCGCAGTCGATCGCCAAATCGCTTAGGAAACAAGGAAAACCTCCCGGCTGAGGGGCCTGCAGCACCATTCTCAGACAAGCTTTTCTCTCTTGAGTGTGGAGGAAAGGGCAATTGTGGGTACAACTGCCTCGCTGCAGGGCTTGCCCTGGACAAAGGCCAGACTTTTGATGATGTCAAAGATGTGCTTGAGACCCGCGGACGCACAGTTCGTAATGACTTGTACAAACACATGTCAAAGCACAGTACCGAATACGAGTCATGGTTTGTTCCTCCAACGGAGAAGAATGAGACTATCGATGCAGGGCCCACACCTACTTCTTGGCAGGACTTCCTCGAGTCCACGCTCCGAGAACACAGGTGGATCGACGGCTCAGCCTTCAAGCAGCTTCGCGCCGCTATGGCGTTCAGATCATCGTAATACCTCTCCGTGGTGAGGAAAAAGACAAGCCTATGTCTTTTGGAACCCCCAAGACTCGCTCGCCCATGGAAGGTCATTACACATTGGCTCAGCTGAAGTCCGGTCGTCAATGGCCCAAGGAATGGATCAATGCCTGCCAAGCATCTGTTGCCAGCCCAGCTTTCCGTGGCGGAGGAAAGTCGACTTGCTCAGCTGAATGGCACCCTTCTGCAACTCCGTCACGGACCAGTGTGCAGAGCTGGCGACCTGCTGCGACTCCTTCAGCTTCCAGCAAGAGCTGTATCGAAACAATCAGCAAACAGCCCAAGCTCTGTCTTAGTCAGAATTGATAAACAAGCAGACCAGTGTTTGTGCAGAGTCCAGATACACTAAGGTCCCATCCTTGCAGACGCACAAACCATCCGCATCCTCAATTCGTGCTCTTCCAGCTCAGAGTAGTGCTCCCAAGCGGTCGGTCCCGTCTCTTGTCACGAATTCAAAAGTGGATCAGTTTGTTTGGACTTGCAATGTGTGGCGCGAAGTCCTGCGCAATCAGCGCCAGAGGTCCCTCGCCTGCGCACGGCTTCGACGCATTAAGAAGGTGCATCCTAAACCCAAAGACGCTAAACGCGTGTTGCAAGCATTCAAATGACCTGTCCAACTTGCCAGCGCCAGCCTGTACTTGCCTCTTGATCAGCGTGCCTGGTCATGTCCCAAGTGCAATGCCGGATTAGCTTCGATGCCAAAAGGAGAGCTCAAGGCCAGCAAAGAAGCTCACCTCATGGAGTGTTTGTCGCTCAACCGCCGTCAGCTCCGAGCCTTGAAATATAGGAACCCTTGCTGGCAGGCCAACCACAAGAAGATTGTTGCAAAAAATGCTGAAAATAAAAGAGCCAGCAGTGATAACAAACTCAGTGCATACAACCAGTCGGGTCATGGCCACGCCTTTCGCATCCCGGCCCCATTTGCGAGTCAGAAGCGTGATGAATTCGGCTGTGCTGCTTGTACTGTAGTTTTTCAGAAACTCAAAGACCTCCTGAAGCAAACTTGTCCTGGTTCTTCTGGTAGGACCGCCATTATGAACTGCTTCTCTCGCCAGCAGTTTTGTTTGCGCAAACGCAAGCATAGCCAGGAGGCGGTTCAGTTGTTCGTGAAGCAGTGGAAGCTGACTCGGTCCGAGCTCAACCTGCTTGAGCGCGGGGTCAAGGACCACAACAGAGGGCGCGACATTCCCCTCCACAGGCATGCGTGTGGTTCAAGGACGTCACCGAAGACGGTGACGTCCACCCCCACCCGGGTCCGGATGATTGAATAGATCATCTTCGAGCCTTGAATGGTTGTATGATCAATTGCGGTGGCGCAGCCAACACCTGGGCTTTTGCTAGGTCCTTGACTACTCGCAAGCCGGCAATCGCAATCGTCCAAGAACTTTGTATGACTCCAGCAAAGCAAGCAGATTTGGCACGGTTTTTGAGCAAAAACAGCTTTAGATGTTTTTTCTCTGTTCCCCCGCCGGTTCGCAACGTCAAAGGGGAACTGTTTGCCAGCGGGGGTGTGGCCATCTTCGTCCGCAATGACAAACAGTGTCACCAAGTTCAAAAGTTTGCGAGCCCTGATGGTCAAGCAATAATGATCCAACTGGATCACACTTTTGTGATAGGTGCATATATCCCTCCCCGACCTGATGAGCTTGAAATGATTGGGTGCAATCCACCGGTCCTGCAGCGGCGGTGTTCGTTTTGGGGGACTTGAACGCCGAACCTGGCTTCGCTAATCGGTGGTCCGCTCTCAAATGGGCTGGTGCGAGTAAGGCTGTCCTTGATGACCAAAATGTTCCACTTGCC